TTTAGCTACACTGGTTACATTATCCAAGGTCAATACAAAATCAATTATATTTCTATATTCTGGCAATAACCAGAAATTGTTTTAAGAAATATTATGTACAAAAAAGCCCAAGTTATACAATACTTAGGGACAAATTTAACAAAATCCATGTAAGACCTGCTTACTGAAGTTTAAGTTAAATTTTGAAATTAAATGGAAAGATATAGTAAATTCATGGATTGGGAGATTAAATACTATTAAGATTGTAATTCTTCCAAATAAATTTATAGAGATTGCACTGTAAGATGTCTACTTCCAGATACTTTGTATATACATTGATTTCATTCATTTTAATGACTGCGTATATTTCCTAGTGTGAAGGAGGTATAGTTAAACCAATCAATCCATCAAACAATCTGGTTAAAGTAGAATAAGTATTTATTGTTAGTAAAGCTAGCTGATGACAATGAATATTATGTGGTACTCAAACAATTTGAGATTTCAGAGTGTTTTGGATTCTTGGCTTAGAAATACAATATCGATATCTATCTATCTATCCATCTATCTGCAACTGCCTTACTGTGTCCTAGAGCAGGGGGCTTAAATAATATCATTGGACTACAGAACATTCTCATACCTAACAGTCCAGGTGACTTTGTGTATTAACCATATTCAGGCCTTTTTATGGGTCCAGGTCATATTTGAGCTTTCCCTATGGTAGAGATACCTGGGCCAGTCATACACACAGGCTCCAAGCTTTCCCAGATGGGTTCAAAGTTCTTCTTTTAGCTGAAATTGACTCTCCATTCCACATTTGGCTGGTCAATCTGAATTCCCAGTTCTGGGCTAAGAATAACTCCCTGATCACTAGCTTTAATAGTAGAACCAGTTTTATATCTAATGTGGGCTATGTTTGACATCCCATTCCTACTTACTTCTTTGTTTGTTTTGAGACGGGATCTCTCTATGTAGTTCAGGCTGGCCTTGAATTCACTATGTAGGCTGGCTGGCCTCAAAAGTTGCTATGATCCTCCTGCCTCTGACTCCTCTGACTCCTTGAGTGCTGGGACTACAGGTGTGTGCCATGATGCCCAGCTTAAACTGTTTTCTTTTTTCATTTTCTTTTTGGCAGAACTGGGGATTGAACTCAGGCCCTTGCGCTTACCAGAGAAGCGCTTATTCTACTGAGCCATCTCACCAGCCTCCTTAAACTCCTATTTTCTTCTAACATCTGTGTTGGATTTACCTTCTCAGCCTCTTTACCTGAATAGAAATCTAGTATTTTTCCATGGATAGACCTGTCTTATAGCCAGTACTACCTGCAAAGGATAGGAAGTTGCTGCTTATTAGTGTTAAACTGTGTTTTCAGAGAAAGACGGTATTATCCTTCCAATTTCCATCTCAGTGTGAATGCTAATGCATGTTATTCAAACACTCATTTATTTCATTGTTTATTCAATGAAAGAACACCAACTATGTGAGTGCTTAGCATCCTGCTATGCACAAAGGAGACAACCAAACTGTGATCATCAAAAGAATACTACAGGGTAAGCATCTTTAATCTGAAAATCTAAAGTCTAAAATGCTCCCAAATCCAAAAATTAAGAGTGTTGACCTGATATCACAAGTGGACAAAATTCCATACCTCACTTGGTTGCATGCATAAAATTATTTAGAAATATTGTATAAAATTATGTGTATAAGGTGTATTATGAAATGTAAATGAATTTGGTGTTTACCCTCAGGTTCCTTCCTCAAGATATCTTACTATATACAAATAATTATTTCAAGCTGTTGAGAAAAAAAAATCTAGTATCTACAATACTCTCATCCCAGGCATTTTGGATAAGGGCTACCCAACCTCCAAAGACTCAATGTTATGAGATTATATTTGAACCTCTTATCAGCTCTGCCTTTTCAAATCTCTCCCCTTTTCAATCTATCTTCTACCCTCTACCAAGTGAGCTTTCTAAAAATGAAAGTTCATCTGTTTTCATGGGAAAAAAGCATGAACTCATCAGTGCAGCATTAAAGGCTCTTCCCACTCTGACCTCTATTTCCATTTAGGTCTTAATCTTTCATAATATCTCTCATATACCTGATGCTTTACACCCAGCACACTTGTCACTGGTCCTTTCCAATCACTATTTCCTCTCCTTAGAATGCTTTTCCCTCTTTCTTTGCCTTACAGGCTCCCAATTTTCATATTCATTTAAAGTTTTTTTCAAAATACTCCACCTATGCTCCTAATCAGCCCTGGATTTTGCACATGGCTCTGTTGCCCTTATTAGATGATGAGATTTTTGAAGGTACTGGGTTTATGTCATTAGTGTTTATATTTCTGAATCCAGATCTGAATAAGGTCTTTCAAGAGTAGGAGCCAAATAGCTATTTGTTAAATGGATGAAGGAATGTCTGAATGTGAAAGAAGAGCTCAAATGGGTGTGGTAGATGCAGGTCAGAGTTTTTGAAAGATAGAAGCCTTTAAACTGGACATAGGAAGACAGTAGGGCACTTGGATGAGGTAGATTATTATTCTATGAGATGGAAGAATAAAAGCTCAAGACTGAGAGCAGAGATGGTAAGGTGGTCAGCCAGGTTACAGCCCGCCGACCTTGCCATTTGCCTGATTTCTCCAGTACATTCCAGTTCCCAGAAGGCTGGGTATTTCATGCACTCCTTTGTATTTCCTTTATGTTAGAGGTACATGTCCATAGTCATAGTCCCTACTGTTTTGTGGTTCCGATCCTGCTCTGTATTAGAACTATCTGGGCATAGCCTGTGTCCCCATTCTTGCACCAGCCTCTCTCCCCAGCTGCTTGAGGCAAGGGACAAGGTCGTGCTATCTTTTCATCTTCTAAGACATTTAGTGTAGTTCCTGGCACACAATGGGTATGCAGCAAACATTTTCATATGCTTTTAAAAAAATCTGATTACAGATGAATACAAGGACATTTGTGTGCAACCGTGTATTGTGACACAAAACTTATATATGCCTTTATAACATGCAGTCTATTTTTGGCAATTTTCATTAAAATGTTATCTTATTGTACCTAGAAGACTGTCATTTCAATTTTCTCCTTTGTTCCTTCTTGGATGACTCATATCTTATACCAGAAGGATATGACAGAAGGGATTCACAAAATTTATGAATGACATAGTCATAAATGTCTGGGTATGAGAAATGAGCATGCACAGGGAAAAAGAGAGGACTTGCTTTCTAAAATGTCTATTAGGTGCCAGGAAGTGTGTGTCAGGCACTTGGTACACATTATATCTCACCTAGCCTTGCAGAATTAGTTTGTATAAAGACAGAACATCTCTATGGCCAAGCTTACATCTGTTCAGGAACACAGCTTTCCAGGTACCAAAGGTAATATTCCTGTTTATTAAAATTTTATCAATCTTCTAACAGAGATGAATCTTTTGCTGCCCAAGAACAGAACACTCACTCTCAATTCAGACTTCTGGGGCTGAAAACTCCTTTCTGACATAAGATGATCAGTTTTTAAAGTCCCAGTGTTTTAAATTATAATTCAGCCTGAGATATTACCACAGCAATAACAGCAATTATATTTATCCACAGCACTTACTTGTATATTTCATTAAGCCTCCAAATACTGAAAAAAGATAAGTCAAGAAAAGAGATTTTTGTTAATCCTAACACCAGCCAATTGTCTCAAATTATAGTATGCCTTCTATTTGTATTTTAGACATATTAAATGGCTTTTTTGAGATACATATTTTATCTTATTTAAGGTTAGAAGAAAATTGGGAGGAAATTACTTTAAGTTGTTTCTAATGTTTTAAAAATAATAGTAACTTCAAAAAAACATAATGTTCTCAAGTAAACAGCTGCTATATCTGGCAGAAATCATAATATTATAAGCAAAGCAATATTGCTTATCCTTGGGAAATAGCTCGAGAAGGCGGGGCTACATGTACTGGTCTTTTATTTTAACTCACACAGTTGAAGATCTGTGGTAGCATCCTGATCTGTGATAACGTAATTCTTGTGAAGGTGAGGGGTGGTGGGGATAGATGGCTACACCTTTGGATGAATGATTTCAGCACACTTCAGACACCTTGCTATTCCCTGCTTTAGGAAAATTAGGATAAGTACCGCGTGCTAACTGGAGCTCCACTTTAGGAAAATTAGAACAGAAACCTTTGTTTTGTATTTTTTTTTAGTAAGGGTCTACAGGATCTCACTACATAGATCGGACTTGTACTGATTTGCCTGTGTTCAGCCTCCCAAGTGCTGGGACTACAGGCATGTGCCGCCATGCCCAGTCTCAATTGCTGTTTCAGCGCACCCTGGGGGCAGGGCCAGCATGGCACGCAGGGGATCGAATCCTGGTCCCTGCATATGCCTAAACAGGCGTTTTAATCTGCTGAGCTATTTGGGTGACCCAGAAACCTTTGTTTTGTAAAGCTCATCTCATATGACTGAAGAGAATGGCAAGGGTTCAAATGATACATATCACATTTTGGATGGTCCTTCTCTTATCCTTGCATGTACTAATTGCTGGAAAAACATCAAACTTGACTTTGGCAGTGACTACACATTTCTTGACTTTTACATTAGTCAAAGAAAATTGACAGACCAGCACTACTACCAGAGAACATGTTCCATATACCACCTAGGAGACTTCTGTAAAAAGATGAAAACCTAGCACATTTAAAAACTAGTCCCTTTCTTTCTGAGATTAGGGGATGAAAATATGCACATATTCCAAAGCGTTCTTTGTGTGAACAGGTGACCCCTTCCCACAGTCTCTGTAATTAATTGAGAAATTAAAGTTGGTTGGCCTTTGAGATCTTTTGTAAAAGAAAAAAAAAGGCAGAAGGCCTTGGATATTTTGGAACAAGAGTCTACTATTCTGCCAAGACAGTATGTTATTGTTGTTGAAGTGTCTCTCAACAAAACGGTATTGAGTGGTGAGGACGTGATTTTGATTAGGTGGAATGACTCAGCTCTTCCCCTTAAAGAAGAGAGGACTTGTCAGAACCTTACTTACCTCATGATCTGGGATCTCAGAGGATAGCGTTTTCCCTAGGATGACCCCGGTCAAGTATGTCCAGCAACGAGCAGTGTTGGCAAGGTTATAGCCTCCTATCTCCGTCAAGAATTGTGAAGTTAGGAAAGAATAGTCACAAAACAGCAGCAGAGGAAAGGAGGGGAGAGGAGAGAGAAAAATGTTTTAATCAGAAGGCTAAAAAGACAACTCCAACTTGCAGAATTTCACCCAAATATCTCTATGATATTTGCAAACCACCCAGTGGGTAGACTTCGGGGGACTGCCGTATAGAAACAAGAATTCCAAGGACAGTGAAGGTGAAAGAGGTTCCCATCTCACAACAAATGTGTGCCCTAGAAATCTGACCTTCTTGCTTCTATCAAAGACATCAGAAAGACAGATTCCTGGAATCAGGATCTCTGGAGGTGACAACTCAATGGGAAGGTTTCTACAATGAATTTTGCAACAAATTTATAAAATGACTGTTGGTTGTGATCTATATGTTAAAGCTATTGGCAGATATAGCCCTAAAAGCATCCAGGGAAGAGAAAAGGAAAGTGCTGACAGAAACAGACTTCCTTCTTTTAATATCAGCATTCCTTTTCACCATAAAATATAGACCTGGTGGCAGAGATCGGAGAGAGATGAAAAAGGGGCCCATTGATTGACACTCTGACCCACCCCATCAGGTCTTGTCACGGTCATCTAGCAGCCGTATCACACTGGCTAATAATCAGCACATTTCTGTGCAAAATAGTTACACTTCATACGCAAGATTAGAACATTGGCTGTTAGCTAAATTCAAAGAATATGCGGGTAAAATGGAATGATTTCCAACCCCAATGCAACCTAAAGGAAAGAGAATCTAGTCTATTTTAGGTAAGGTGACAATATAAATTATATGACATACTTTTTATATGTGACATACTTTTAAGAGTAAGAGAGATGCTATTTTTTTTGTATTTTAGGAAATGCTATTTGTTTTTTTTTTTTTTTTTTTTTTTTTTTGCAGAACCGGGGATTGAACTCAGGCCCTTGCACTTGCCAGGCAAGTGCTTATTCTACTGAGCCATCTCCCCAGCCCCTGAGAGATGCTATTAATCATTACACTAAGATGTGTATAAACTAGGATGTATGGTCATCTTTTTTATTTTATTCTATTTTTTATTTTTTATTAATTTTATTGAGAAACAAATAGTAATGAGACAGTTTCAAAACAGGATAATAGGACAGTTACAATAATTAATACATTGCGTAATGTTGTCTTCGTAGTAGTTATTCATAGTACAAGATGTAGACATGATATCCTGTCCATAAACTATTAGTACAAATCTTACTTCTCATTGAATTAAGAGAAAGTAGCTGTATATCTAACCTAACTATTTTGTATATACATATACAAAATGGTCCTTCATTTATATCCCCCTTTTTCATCTAGTTTTGTCAGAGATGGGTATTCCATTGCCATTTAAATATTGTAGGTGCATGAATTCAGCAAAATAATCCAATATAGTTCAGTAGTCATAGTGGGTTATCCGTAGGACTCTGCAGACCTCAAAAGTCATCTCTGAAATTGCTTGGCTCTAGATCTTGTTCCCTGTTCTAGCTATGCTTTCTACTACTCTTTTTTTTTCCATAATTTTATTGAGAAACAAATAGCAATGAGACAGTTTCAAATCAAATTGGTAGTACAGTTTCAATAATTAACACATTGCATACTGTCTTCCTAGTGGTTATTTGTTGTACAAGATGCAGACATGATATCCTATTTACAAACACTATTAGAACAAATCCCTCTATTCATTGAATTAAGAGAATGTAGGCTATATATCTATCCTAACCATTTTGAATACATAGATACAAAAAGGTCATTCATCTGTATCCCCTTTTTTTGTTTAGTTCCATCCTTTAAATATTATAATGGATGTGTGAACTCAGCAAAATATTCCAAATGGTCATCTTTTTCTTAAGTCTCTCTACTATTTGAAAGGTTGAGGGGCCGGGGAGATAGCTCAGTAGAATAGGCACTTGCTGGCAAATGCAAGGACCTGAGTTCAATCCCCAGTTCCACCAAAAAAAAAAAAAAAAAAAAAAGAAGAAGAAGAAGCAAGGTTGTAACTACCCATGTGTATAATAAGAGAGAATTTCAGTTAAGCAGTATAGATATTACTTTAAACACCTTTGATATAAAAAAGTGCATTTATAATACAGGCTCACTTGGCATGATTATTTAATTTTGAAAAAAATAAGGGCTGGTGAGATACCTCAGTCATCTAAAGTGCCTGCTTAGGCAAGCTAAGGCAGATGCAGGGGACCGCAGTTCTATCCCAGCACCACATACCATGCCAGCCCCACCTCAGGGTGAGCTGAGTGGGAAAAAAAAAAGAATCACACAAGTTTTGCTTAAGTAGTAAGATGTCTCTGGTATACACGTAGTATGATCTCATTTGCAAAAATTCCATCAATTTGCAGGCATTTTTAGGCATATTGCAGAAGAGGATTTATACTTATATATTCAAAAGTCAAAACTTTATGCTGAAAAAGCAAAAGGACCTTAGAAGCAAAATAGGCTTGTTAAGTGAACACTGTAGCCTCAGACAAAAGTGAAATTTGCACACGTATACGTTGTGGAAAGTCTTTCTTCCCCCTAGCTAGGACTGTATCATCATTACAATCCTTCATGCCATTAAGGAAAGTAATATGTCATGTGGTATTTATCAATTTTGTCTTTTTCTTCAGTTGAAGTTAATATATTTCTTGCCATCTTTTCACAAAAATTTGTCTCTTATAAGCACTTTACATTTTGATCCTTCTTGGATTTGAGGCTGCCAAAGGACCAGGTTGGTACATCTGTGCTGATGCTTACTTATTTAAGTAAGACCTCCCCAAGATTTTTTTCCTCTACTTTGGTTTTTACCTGAGGTTGACAAAACAACAAACTATTAGCTTGTTCATAATATGTGCATTTTAAACTCAATCTGCTTGACCATGTTATTGTAACATACATTCACCCAGTGAAGTCAAGATTTTGCCAGGTAGGGATATAGAAGAACCTAAGCAAAGCAGTTTCCAAGGTAGTTGAGGTTATGACAGTTTCCTTTCTTAGATATATACATGCTTCAGTTTTCTGCTGGTTAAGTAATACAAGTATCAGTAACTGTGAAAGGCAAGAATACCTATGAGACTTTTTGATCTCTCAATATTGCTTCATTATAACAAAGTCATGTTTTTTTGTGTAGCCATTCTTAAATTCAGCCTGGGTATTAAATTAATTCATATATTTCCTATAGGGGCTGGGGAGATGGCTCAGTGAAATAAGCGCATTCCTGGCAAAGGCCTGAGTTCAATCCCCAGTTCTGTCAAAAAAAAAAAAAAAAAGAAAGAAAGAAAGAAAGAAAGAAAGAAAAAAAACATATTTCCTATAGATATATGTGTTGACTTAGAATTTTAGTGGTGTGTTTCCTTAAGATGATTATGAGAACTAAGAAAGACTGTAGTGAAAGTAGATTGATCAGGTCTATTGGAATCAACACCCTCTATACTTATGTTCTTTTTTTAATGTATTTAGTTCAGTGTCTATAGGGTCTCACTACACAGATTGGACTTGTAGCAATCCTGCTATTTTTAGTCTCCCAAGAGCTGGGGTTACAGGCCCAGTCTCAGTCACTGTCTCAGTGCACCCCAGGTGCAGGGCTGGCATGGCATGATGGGGATTAAATCCCAGTTCCTGCACCTGCCTAAGCAGGTGCTTTAGTCCACCGAGCTATCTGGCTGGCCCTATACTTATATTCTAAGGTAACATTTTTTTGGTTTTAATGTGTTTTTTTTTTTTTTTTTTTTTTGTGGAGCCAGGAATTGAACTCCAGCCCTTTTGCTTGCCAGGCAAGCACTTATTCAACTGAGTTATTTCCCCAGCCTTTTTTTGTTTTGTTTTGGTTGCTTTTGTTGTTTTTCACCACTGGGATAGAACTAAGGGATTAGAACATGCTAGGCAAGTATTTTACTGCTGAGCTAAACCTCAGCCTTTGAGGTAAGCTTTAGCCAAAGATCTTTCCTGCAGGACATGAAGTGGATTTCAGAGTGCCAGGGAGTCAATGTGCATGCCAAGCTGAGGAGGGCTGAACTGTGGTGGTGGTAGAGCTTCTGTCTCTGGCTTCTGGGCCATAGACAGGTTGGTATTATCCAATCTAAGGTCAACTTAGTGCCAAGAGACAAATTATGGACAAGGTCAACAAATTCTCCTGGTGACCTTTTGTACTCACCTCCTCCTAAAATGAGTGTTGACAACTGCCACTGAAGGATGTATTTAAGACATCTGCCAATTCCCACGGGAGTCATATTAAAGGAGCACATGGGATCCCCCGCTATTGTATCAGCTCCTAGCTGTAAAACCACTGCTTTTGGATTAAAGGCTTGGTATACTTCCTTTAGTACACTGCAGAAAAGAAAGGATATAACATATTAGAAAAAGAAACATCAAGGCCCCCAAATTCCAAGACTCAATGAAAAATTGGGCATCTGAGATGTGTATACACTTCTTGGATGAAGAAATACAAATGGCAAATAAATATATGAAAAGATATTCAATTGAGTAGTCATTCAAGAGATGCAAATTAAAACAATACTGAGATTCTATCTCACCCCAGAGAAAGAATAGCTATTATCAAGAATTCAATCAATAACAAATGCTGGAGGGGCTGTGGGGAAAAAGGAACCCCTCTCCACTGTTGTTTGGAGTGCAAACTGGTACAACTACTATGGAAATCAGTGTGGAGAAAAAAGTAGGATTAGAGGTCCAATTCAAAACAGCTATTCCCCTCCTGTGTATTTTCCCAGAAGAACTAAAAACATAACACAGAGATATATGTGCACCCATGTTTATAGCAACACAATTTGTCATGCCTAAATCTTGGAAACAACCCAAATGCCCATCAACCAAGAAATGAATAAAAAAATGTGGTATTTTTATACAATGGCATATTACTCAGCTGTAAGAAAGATAAACTTGAGGCTTTTATAGGTAAATGGATGTAACTACAGACCATACTCATAAATAAATCAGACCCGCATATGTAAACATCGTATTGTCTCTCTAGTATAAGAATCTGAAAGAGTAAATAAAATCTGAAAGGTACAATAGACATAGTGAAAGGGAGAGAAACTGTTCAAAGGGAAGGAACAACTGGGATAAGGGAAAGGAGAAAAGAAAGAAAGGAGGAAGGGGAAAACAAATATATATGTATATGTATATGCACAGGACAGCTTGGATAATTTTGCTGCTGATTTCTTCTGGTCTATTGAAAGGAGCAATTAATGCTTAATTTTTTTTCTCTGTCCTTTTAAATTTTTTTCTAATTTTTTGAACAATCTGGTAATCTGAACAACTAATTTAAAGATAATAATATTCAATATAACAACCATTGTTGAATTCCTATCATTTTGCATAGTGAAGTTCTGTATTGTTTCTAGTTTTTACTATATTTTATTCTCTTTAAAAAAAGGAAAAAAAACCCAAACAGCAATTTGGTCTAGGCTTTAGTGGTGGGAGTGTAGGAAGTTAGAAGTTTAGTCAAATCAGTACATAATTAAGGAAAAAAGAAACAATCTGGCTATCCCATCAAACTTTCCACCTAAAAAGAGTGAATCAGATTGTATGTGAATTATACCTTATTTTTAAAAATTTTTAATGTATTTGGTATGAGGTCTCACTAAGCAGCTCTGATTCATAGCGATCCTCCTGTTTTCAGCCTCCCCAGTGCTGGGATTACAGGCTTGTGCCATCGCACCCAACCTGGGCTCGCTGGGCTGGCCAGATCAGTGTGCCCAGGGGCGGGCCAGTGCTATATGTGGTGCTGGAGATGTAACCCTGGTCCCTGTGCTTGCCTAAGCAGGTGCTTAGTCTACTGAGCTATCTCACTGGCTCTGTGAATTACACTTTAATGAATCTGCCTTTTTTAAAAAAAATTCCTATACTTCTACTATAACCACTAAACAAATTTGCCTTTCTGTTTGAGGACTCAAATTTCCTTGAAATATCTGTATTCATTTAGTGTCAGCAGCCACAGGACACAGCATACACTTATTCCATTTTAATATCTGGGGAAATAAAACATACACTCAATAGTTATGAAGGATTCTTTCAGATAATTTAAGATGGCAGTCATACTTGGAGTTTATCACCTAATTATCAGTAGGGGTTAGGAGTGAGAAGTACAAAGCTTTGAAAGCTTACATGGTATAGGCTTACTTTTTATTATGTAAAGGGACTTGAAGGTTATAAAATGTCCATATATATATATATATATGTATAATAAAAAAGAGAACTATATTTTGTTGTTGTCTTTTTCAGATAGGCTGTCACTATGCAGTTCAGGCTGGCCTTGAACTCACTTTGCAGCCCAGGCTAGCCTCAAACTTGCAAGGATTCTCTTGCTTCAGCCTATCAAGTGCTGAAATTAGAGGTGTGAGTCACCACAAATCGGGCTAAGAAAGGAAGCTGTAACAGCGGACCTAAAATCATAAATCTTAAACCACAGTAAAAGAAGTTGGGGTAATAATACTGAGTGTAATTTTGAGTAGAATCATTCAATGCTACCAAATCAACCTAAACCCTTCTTTTTTAAAAAAATAGTGACAAACCTTATAGATGACAAGGAAGATGTCAATATGACAGGTGACCTCAGTCAGGCTTCCAATCTTATTATTAATTGAACACTGACAATGCCCAGAATGCATTCCTAGGATTTATATGGTCCTTGCTCTCAAGGGGCTTACGACCTACTTTCCAGACAAAACATACACCAGTCCTCAAGGGCCTGAGTAACTCTCACAGAGACATATAAACAAATGCAAATTAACAGACTTTAGAGTTGAGAAAATGCATAGACAAAGAGTGATAAAAAATGTTGAGGTTAATGACCCTTTCAAAATCAACATGTCAAATTCCACCAGGGTTGGAAAACCAGAAATACCCCAGATCCTTTCTGAATTGGCAAAAGGAATTCAGGAACAAAATATGCTGTCCTTCCTAATTCATAGATAGCCAATGTACTAAAACTACTGAACAAAGCTCAGTCACAGTGGCATTCTTCGATTAAGAGGACTGTTTTGACTTGTCACCTACACAGACAAATATTGAGTGACTGTGGAGATTATAAGAATATTATGAAATTATGACAGATGAAAATTAATACAAGGATCCTTGGGCCTATTTTCTCTTCTATGTACTTATCTCCTAGGTTAAGAGGGAAGATAAGCCACCCAAGTAGTTTCCACGACATTTATTGAGCATCTATATCTACAGAATACCTTATTAGCCACTGAGGGGAGACACAGAGGAAGGCAAGCATAATTAAAGTTCTTTTCATTCATTTTTTTCCTTCATGTTGCACACATTTGGCTAGTGTCCATTGTGTGGTCAACAAGAAATTCAACGGGATGCTGCAAGAATCCAGAAAAATCTTGCATAGCCCCTATCTTCATGTAGCTAGGAATAGAGTGGAAGCCATAGACTATGGCAATAAATAATTAAAATGCAATGATAAATGACACATCAGAGTTGGCACAGAAGACAGTAATTAACTTTTCCAGAGGATGTTAGACTAGGTTCTATAGAGGTAACTCTGGACTTAGGTCCTAAAAGAGAAGTATTACAATGAGCCAATTCTCAAGACCACTAAAACTAAGAAAGTGATAATAATTCCCAGTGAGGATGCAGAGAAACTAGATCATACATATCTTACTGGGTGGAAGGTAAAATAGTATAGCCACTCTGGAAAATTCTTTAGTAGTTGTCAAAACTAAAAAATAAACTTGTCATCTGAGCAGTAATTTAACTCTTGCACAGCTTATTCCAAAGAAATTAAGGCATTTTTATGAAGGAACTTAACATGAACTGCATAGCAGCTTTACTTGTAATAGCCCCAAACTGGAAAAACCCAGGTAAATAGGTTAAAAAACAAAACTAAAACCAAAACCCCTGATACATCCAGGGTCAAGAGAAAGTAGAAAAAAGAAGTGGTCCTCTACAGGGTGAGAGCAGACTACTAGGAAAGAACACAGTAGCAGAGAGCTCAATGGTAACTATTGTTTTGTCTGTCCCATCCCTCAGGCTGACTTCAGGTCTAGTCTGTCTTATCCAAAACTTAAGAGTTCTTGCAAGAAGTCTATCTGCAGGGCCTTGGAAACTGCTCTGCATATGTGTCCTGGAACTCGGCAACTAACAGGTCATGCCCATTTTCTCATGGTCGGCCACATCCTCATCTCTGCCTTGATTTCCCCATAATTCTGTATGGGTGAGGAAGGAGAGGAGGTCTCTGTCTTCATATAGCTACTTCTTGCTGAAAGGGGGTGTAGGGCCTACCTATTGGGGAATATTGCTCTCCAACTACCTTGGGGTGTTATGTTCAGTCCATATGGTGTATGGACTGAAGAAATAAAATCCATGGTGTCCAGGGTCACCCGGGGCTCCTCACAGGAGATGGTGACAGCCATGAAGAGGGCGAATTGGAGAGTGTACTTTTTTTCCTATGTTTACTGGGCTCAAACTTTTTGCAGAGCACATACATCTCTCTCCCTAACTTTTTTAAAAAAATGTATTTAGGACAGGGTCTACAGGGTCTTACTACACAAATCAGACTCGCAGTGATCTTCTTGTTTTCAGTTTCCCAAACACTGGGATTACAGGCATGAGCCACCACATCCAGTCTTAATCACAGCTCAGTGCGCGCTGAGGGTGGGGCTGGCAAGGCACGCAGGGATCAAACCCTGGTCCCTGTGGCTGCCTAAGCAGGTGCTTTAGTCTGCTGAGCTATCAGGCCAGCCCTTCTCTCCCTAACTTGTTTTGTTTTATTTTATTTTATTTTATTTTATTTTATTTTATTTTATTTTATTTTATTTTATTTTATTTTATTTTATTTTTGCAGAACTGGGGATTGAACTCAGGATCTTACACTTGCCAGGCAAGCCCTTCTTGTACTGAGCCATCTCCCCAGCCCCTCCTAACTTTGATAAAATGTAAAACCTTGCTGTCTCTTATGATTTCCTTGACCACTCCTTTGTTCAAGAGAGAAAGAACCTAGAAAACATCACTTGAAGGAGACTCCGGTCACCAAAATCTAGTAACATATTTGGCAAGACTGTCAGGGTTACACATTCAGTTTATGTGTATGTGTGACCAGCTCAGCCCACCAGGGGGCGGGGCTGGCTGGCATGTGGTGCTGGGGGATTGAACCATGGTCCCTGTGCTTTGCTAAGATTGTTCTAAGTAGGTGCTTTAGACCACTGAGCCATCTCACCAGCCCCAGGGTTACACATTCAGAAAACTTTGCCTCACATCCTTATTTCTCACGCCTTTGCTATTTCTGTCTTATCAATCCTGGACCCTTATATAAACCACATTGTCAGAATTTTTTGCTCTGTTCTACTGGAGAACAC